CGCCCGACTGCAGCAGCTCGGCACGTCACGTGGCACGTCTGCACCAAACGTGATCCTATGTGCCATGTGACAAACAGCTTCAACAAAGATATCCTACAAAATTGGCAAGCCAACATGGACCTACAGTACATCACGGTTATGCCTGTATCATGAACGTTACCTCTTACATGATTGAGATATAATTTATATAAGCAATTTGAGCTTGTTGCCTAATACTCAGTAAATATATGTGAATAAATAAAAAATGATCAAGAGTGAGAAAGCAATGACTGGGTTATTGAGGAAAATAACTAAATAGACACTAAAGTTGTCAGGCCAACATGCATGGATGTGTTATCGTAGCTGATGGCAGTAAGTTTTAAATATACTTGCATGGCTGCCGATGTAGACTTTCTATTACTGCTGTTCACGTACATTAGTCCACACTGACGACATGCATTTCATACGGAGCAACAAGTTTCACGCACTGTGAACTCGGGTTTTCATACGTGAGAACTTACATAGGGCAGGGGCGTTTGATTTCAGGAGTTCTTTCATGTGAAAGAGGAAGTAGAGATTAGGGACTAGTTTTTCACAGTCACGCTTAGTGCGTCTGTAAAAACGGAACTAGAAACGTCTCAGATGGATTGTCTTGCATGATATTTAGTAGGTGGGTAGGTCTTAAAGAGGCCTTGAAATTATAAGATTTTGAGCCTCCTGACGGCATGGGATGGTTCTGCAGCGGAACTTCTGATTTTGATAACTGGTGATCAGGACATGCTCGGATCATGACTAATGGGCGGTAGTTGGCTTTTGTGCTCTGGAAAAACCGATGATTCACAGTAAACTGCCACTAACAAACTGCCCATAACCACGCACACACATACATGTATGATGTATGTATGTACATTGTATGTATGCACCCCCTACACATACACACGCACTAACCCTCCCACACGCAAACTTTCAATGTAATCCACAACTTCATGTCAAATGAATGCAAAGTAACAGTAAGCTGGACAAGAAAAACAGTAACAAACCGAACCACTTTTAATACTCTCCATTGTACATGATGATACATTTACACTACCCTCAGCAGCCTCACAGTAAGAGCTGCGCAGACCATATTGAAGATAAATAACAGTTAGGTTGGCAAAATTTCATCCAAATTTGCAGTAATAATAGAGAAAAAGCATGTCATCAAGGGATGTACAATTGAGACGATTTTTCACGACTGTTACAACTCCACGGCTTTTGAGGAGAGCCAAGAATGATATGCCACTTTGCAGACGTGTACTTTATTATATTTTCATGTTAAAGTTAAAAAAAGTTTCTCCACTTGGGTTTTTCTGGGACATTGGCCCAAAAAGGAATTCTTTCCTACAAATTTTGGAACGAAGATAATCTGATTAAGGAAATTACATATATCATTCTGTTCTACTTCTGACATAAAACTGCTACATTCCCAAAATGTAACATGAAACAGCCTGGCTTCCCTATCGAAGAGACCACTGCATGAGTGTGATGCCACCTTGCAGAATAGCTGGGAAATGCAGCTTTTAGTCTCACCATGAAACGAGGCAGTTTTGGCTTGCTTCCCTACGCATACCGCAACAATATGTCATCAATTTTGTCTCAGCATTGGGTGTAAGTGTAGTACCATGACATAAAGCATCAGGACTAAAACAAATGTACTCATATGAATGCCGGTTTGCTCAACAATTTCTTATTTCACCACATTTTGACATATTCGTAAAAAAAGTGATCTTTTACATGTACGATTACAGCTCTAAACCTCTGCTGCTACCCTCTTAATTTGATGACTTAATTACCAGTGTTACATGACTCCATATAGAAGAGGTACAGATTGACTTCATCTTACCCTGCTACAGGGCATTATCATTATCAGTATTGTATATAAGTCAGGCTACTTATCATTCCAGGTCATTATCACACTGGTCTAGGGTATTATTACATGAGTCTAGGGTATTATCACGATATCAACATTGCTAGTTACATGAGACCACATTAAGCTCTAGACCATCACCAGTACAATAGGACAGACAATACTGCCACCGTGCACCTACTACATCTATAATCACCAGTACAGGGACTTCCTATCCACACTCACAGGAGAGTTCTTACAAATATTAGCAAGGCGATCCACACTTGGGTGTATCAAAATATAAGCATTGCTGTTGACGGGTATAGCAGGTCCAGTATGATACATCATTGATTTTGGACTAGATATAGCATGAATGAATTATAAAACAATAACCACTACCATACATTAATTACACCAATAAGTCCTCAATACAGAGCAATCGGTATGCATTTCATACCTGTATTACATTATACATAGAATGCTATCACAGCATCATTCTTTTCTCATCATTTGTTTTTGCACAATACGTGTACTTCATGATGCTATCATTGTTGCATTTCAATAGTAACTACTGTAGATGCTGGCTTCTGTATGTAACAGTAGGAATTTCCATCATTATCTTCTTCATTATCATACATCACAAGTATTGAAAGATTGGAAATTCCTCTGGTTGACACAATTATTAGTTGCAAGCATGCACAAGTCATGGTTCCCTGTCTACAGGAATGCTGGGATAGAAGCAGGCTTACCCATCATGCCTTGCATGGTTAATACATTATGTAGCTAGTTGTAGCTTTGTTGCTCCGGCCCTGGTCGGTTATGGCAGTTACCGGAGTCAGTGGATTAGATATTAGAGCTTGACGGCAATGACGTCATGGCATGCCGGGCAGGTTGAATTGCATGCTGGGACGTGGGATGAGGCATGCTGGGATACTATCGTCTGGAGGCCTCCTTGGCAGCGAGAATGAGCGGCTGAATGCTGGCCAGAGGCTTGGCTAACCTCAGGAAGGGGTGCTGTTAGGGAGGGCAGAAGGACAAGGTTTGCTATGACTTACAGTCTTTCAATCATAGAAAACCATTGCAGAAAAACTATACTGTAGAATGCATTCAATCTTGCAGTGGTTATATTTTGCTGTAGGAGGTAAAATGAATTTTCTTAGAAGTTTTAAAATCGAGGATGAAATAATTCTGTAGTACAGTTATTGCAATTCGCAGTGTTGTTATGAATTTGCTGTGGAGAAGTCACTTTAAAAATCACATAAATAAACCACCACAAGGGTTGCTGCATGTAGTTACAGTAATCTGTAGTAGCATGTAGCAGTTTACCGTACATGTTGGATCTTACAACAAATGTACACAATGGAGACACATTTACAAAGTGAAGCAATCAAGAAAACCAAACAGACATTCTTTCAAACCAGAGACCACAGATTTTTTCTCCTCTTGCAGTTGCTTTGAAACTTTTACTTGACATTTTCAAAACTATGAAAGACGTTTCTTTCTGTACATTATGCTAAGCAGAAAGTAAAACCTTAGCTATGATCAAAACAAAATGTTAAAGCTTCACATTGTTATGACACGTGAACCTCAGTTGTGCAGTGGATGAGAGCCAGTTTACTGTCAGCTGTACCAGAACAAACCACACATTAGACACATGAAAACATCCCTCTGTACATTTAAACAAACCGCTGTACAATCTAATCATCAAAATAACTCTCACGCATCTTTTGACTTCATTTTCTCTTAAACATTGTAAACTTTTGTTGGAAATTTCTCAAGATGAAACATTTCGTTCTGGCATTGCTTAATAAACTCTTTACTTCTCATCCACAGCACTAAAAAATTTGATGTTTGCTTCAAAATCAAAGACCATTGTCTACGCTTGTGTACTAATGTGCTAAGTGCTAAGATCCCTATGGCCACAGTTTTAAGTAACAATATCTCACACAGAGAGTTTGCCATTCACAACTGTGAACTGGTGGTAGTTAGATGGCACATAGCTTTTATATCAGATCAAATTATAACCTTCAAACAAACTTTAATAAAGGTTTTTCAACTTTTACCTCGGTCCATTCAATTAAATATCCCACAATACATAGGTACCTTTCTTTATCAGGCAACCAATTTTGATTCAAGACTGAATTCAAAGAATAGGCAGCGACTACAATCATTGGTGTTTGAATTAGATATTCTGAGTAAGAAATTAAGTTGAGTTTCAAGCTCCACCACCACCACTTCCCACTTGTATTATTCTACTATCTGCTCTTCTCTACAAGACTCTTTCGTTCCTCCCATCCTGTGCGGAAGGTGCTTACGTTTGTTTATCTCTGCTGGGCATCTTTAGCAGCGAGAATAAGTGGCCGTAGGCTGGCGAGGGGCTTGGCAAGCTTCAGGAATGGGTGCTACAGACACAGGGGTACAGGAAGGGGAGGGCATACATTACATCCAACTGCATAGAAGCCACCAAATTAATACAGGACAAGGATAGGTGTGCATTATACTGCCATTATACTGTTTTTTACGATGGAGAAGTAGCTAGTGCTTTGGGCACAGGCATTTCTGAACCAAATGACTCATTTCAAATGGTAATCTGCAAAGAGCTTTCATTTAGACAGTAGTTTTTGTTTATGGTTGGCCTCTGAGAGTAAGTCTTAGAGCACAATGTAGCTAAGAATGGTTTGCAGAAACAGGTTGCGACAGTGCTGTAACTTTTCTTGACTAACTTTACTTACTGTGATTGCTATCCTTTCAATGACACTGCAGTGAAGCTCAAGTCTTTTTCGTCTTCATGCATCAATTCAGATCAATCAAAATTGACTGCATTTCAAGATCATCTTCACTCAGTAACTAACTATCCAGGCTTTGAAGAGTGATAAATGAACCATTTCACTAAGATGACTTTAATATACTACTGCATATTATATACTACAGGGTCTCAGGTATATAACATGCAGATTATAAAATGTAGGATTTTGTTGCTTGTCCAAAACAGACAGTATTATGACACACCTTCCTCTACACATCATATGGGGGTAATTATTACACAGAGGAATCCACAACTCCCCTTAACATGATTAATAAAAAAAATCAACAAGAAACCTTGATCCTTGATAGCTGATCCCAAATACTATTAAAACCATAGCCACAAGAAAAGAAATAAAATCACACAATGCAGTGAAATAGGACGATAAGAAAATGTTTCACTCACCTGTTTGTACACAATTGGTTCAATTGTCTTTGAAAGAAAACTATAACTAATACATGTATGCCTGCAAGGTTTTACACAAGACCCCCCAATGCAGCATACGATCTCCACTGGAGCTTTCAACCTAATATCTACCTGGTTACTGTACACAAATTCCAACTGATTTATATACCATTAGCAATGGTGATCGTATCAAAGCAGGTCAGAATCGGCCGATGGCCATCATGATTGTGTTACTACTGCTGTACTGTACAGTATAGCATCATTGTTGATCACAGATAGCACCACATGATTATATGAATCAGTTGAAAGCTTAAGGATAACCCAGAACCCTACTTTACTGATTCCGAAGTATTTCCATTTCTTCAAACTTCTCAATGTTATCTGCTCAACCAGAACATTTTGGTGATAGAGGTGGGCTTTAGGTTGAAATTTAAGCTGTTTTGTTTTGCATAGTTGTATCTTGTAAGGAAAACAAAATTAATGCAATCATGATTATGGTGCTATCAGGGATCGTCAATGAGGTACCAGAATGGCCATCAGACAATTCTGACCTGCTTTCATACGATCACCATCAATCGATTGACACATCTCTCTTCAGCCTACCTTTGACCTTCAGGTGACCTTGACCTTTAACCTGTACCCTGACCTGTGACCTGACCTACCTGCAGCATGTCAGTAGCCGAGCCTCTCTTCTCCACGTCCATCTCCAGACAGGAGGACAGGAAGTCCTTGAACACTGGTGACAGTTTCTCAGGGTGCTGGGTCAGGGTGATGTTAGTGGCAATCAGGTACAGGGCCTGGGGGAAGTAGACAAGTGAACATATTACATTTACTGCATACCTATACTGGTGCAGGTACATGTTGCATTGCAAATATCCTACACCAGACAAATTTTAGCTGCGGTACTCTGCATAAAAATTAGATTTCATGAAGTACAAGAAAGCATCAAAAGTCTTTAATCTCTGATTTCTTGTTTTTTCCGCAATATGAACAGCACAGTGGACAAACGAAAACACACTGCCCTAATATAGCCTAAAAAAGGCTATGGGACTACTGTTACCTTTTAATTAGTTATATTGACTGATACTGACTGACTAATAGTTAACTATATATCTTTTAGTGTGTACATGTAGGTAGCCTAACACAAACTTGGAACCTTACAACACCTGTGTGGCAGCCGCGGACGGTGCAAAGTTTTCTAACAAAACCAGTGGCTGCTGGCCATCAAGTCAGACTGAAACAGGGTATAGACTTGTAGCCATGTACTCACTCTGAGTGGGTTCTCATTCAGGTAAGGTGGCTCTCCCTCCACCATCTCTATAGCCATGATGCCGAGTGACCAGATGTCCACCTTAG